TCTTGGGCGCCCAGGACGCCCAAGAAGGCCCCCAGGACGCTCAACCGAGCCCCAAACCAACAGGAACCCAAAGGAATCCCACAGGCTCCCCAGGGCAAGCAAAATAAGGTAAACCCCCTACTACTACTACTACTACTACTACTACTACTACTACTACTACTACTACTACTACTACTACTACTACTACTACTACTACTACTACTACTACTACTACTACTACTACTACTACTACTACTACTACTACTACTACTACTACTACTACTACTACTACTACTACTACTACTACTACTACTACTACTACTACTACTACTACTACTACGTACTACTACTACTACTACTACTACTACTACTACTACTACTACTACTACTACTACTACTACTACTACTACTACTACTACTACTACTACTACTACTACTACTACTACTACTACTACTACTACTACTACTACTACTACTACTACTACTACTACTACTACTACTACTACTACTACTACTACTACTACTACTACTACTACTACTACTACTACTACTACTACTACTACTACTACTACTACTACTACTACTACTACTACTACTACTACTACGACTACTACTACTACTACTACTACTACTACTACGGCTACGACTACTACTACTACGACTACTACTACCACGGCTACTACTACTACTACTACTACTACTACTGCTACTACTACTACTACTACAACTACTGATACCACTACTACTACTTACTACTACTACTACTACTGCTGCTACTACTACTACTACTACTGCTACTACTACTTCTACTACTACTAGTTCTAGTATTAACAATCATAATAGTACCACTACTACTACTACTACTACTACTACTGCTACTACTACTACTACTACTACTACTACTACTACTGCTACTGCTACTGCTACTACTAGTACTAGTACTAGTACCACTACTACTACTGCTGCTACTGCTACTGGTTGTGGTTGTTGTTGTTGTTGTTGTTCCTGTTGTTGTTGTTGTTAAGCTCTCACTGCTGAAGGCTAATTATTGTTGAGCTCCTCTGGTGCACATTCTATGTTTCAACTGAAGTGCCCCTCCCGGCTCTCGCACCCGTTTTTTTTTTTTTTTTTTTTTTTTTTTTTTTTTTTTTTTTTTTTTTTTTTTTTTTTTTTTTTTTTTTTTTTTTTTTTTTTTTCCTTTTTCTTTTTTTTTTATATATATATATATATATATGAAAAAAAAAACAGGGAAAGCCTTCATCCTCAAACTGCGTGGTTGCCCCCCGGATTACAACGACAACGGCTCCCGCCTGAGACTTCCTCACAATTTAGCCAGGACCCCCGCTCCCGCCTGGGATTTCCTCGTATCCTATTCAGGAATCGCGCTCTCGCTTTGGATTCCTTACAATGTATTCAGGCATCGCCCCCTCGGCGCTCTGGAGTCGCGCTCTCGCTGGAGACTTGATTGCAATTTACTAAAGAATAGCACCCTTGCGTTGAAATTACCCGCAATCTACTCAAGCACCGTTCTCCCGACACTCAGGCACCCAGGAGTCGCGCTCACGCTTTGGACTCCCTCACAGATTACTTAGGCATCGGATCCCGCTGCCCTTCGTGGCCCCGTTGCAACCCTTCGTGGCCCCCTCGCTGCCCTTCGTGGTCCCGTTGTAGCCTTTCGTGGCCCCCTCGCTGCCCATCGTGGCCCCGTTGCAACCCTTCGTGGCCCCTTCGCTGCCCGTCGTGGCCCCGTCGCAGCCCTTCGTGGCCCCGTCGCTGCCCTTCGTGGCCCCGTTGCAGCCCTTCGCGGCCCCCTCGCTGCCCTTCGGGGCCTCGTTGCTGCCCTCAGTGGCCCCTTCCTTGCCCTCCGCGGCCCAATATGCGCACGCCCTTCGTGGCCCCCGCTCGTTCGTGCCCGTCGTGGCCCCATGCGCATGCCCTTTGTGGCCCCGCTGTCGCCCTTTGTGGCCCCCTCGCTGTCCTATGTGGCCCAGTTGCTACCCTCGCTGGCCCCGTCGTTGCCTTCTGTAGCCCCGCATTATCTGCCCTTCGTGGCCCCCGCTCGTTCGCGCTCCTCGTGGCCCCATACGCATTCCCTTCGTATCCCCGCTGTCGCCCTTCGTGGCCTACTTCGTGCCCTTCGTGGCCCTGCTGTCGTTCTCTGTCTCGCTCTCGCTTTCGCTCGTCGTCGTCGTCGTCGTCGTCGTCGCCGTCGCCGCCGTCGCCGTCGACGTCGCCGACGTCGTCGTCGTCGTCGTCGTCGTGGTCGGTCCCCTGTCCGTCCCTCTTGGATCGGGTTGCCGCCGATCAGCGCTGCCGCTGGCCAGGCCGACGGTCCGCGGCCGCCCCGCCACTTGCCGGGGCCCAGTCAGCAGGGAAGAAAAGTATAATCTTCAAAAGGGGTACGATCGAAGACAAAGAGGGCAAGTATCGAGGGTTTGGGAAATACGCGTTAACGGACACTCGAGCAGATCAGAACGAGCAATCTTACAACGATTGCAGTTGTTGTTTTTGTTATTGTCGTTGTCGTTGTCGTTGTCGTTGTTGTTGTTGTTGTTGTTATTGTTGTTGTTGTTGTTGTTGTTAGTTCCGCGCGCTCTCGCCTCGACGCCGGCCACGTTTTCTCTGAGAGCAAGGTTTCCGCGCGAGCGTTGGCTTGAGTGTAAGTGTGGGCCCTTGGAGGCCCAACTACGACGACAACGGCTTCCGCTCGGTACTTCCTCGCAACTTACCCCGAGACACCGTGGCCAGAGACGTCCTCGAAGTCAGGAGCGTCACTCTCGTTCGAGACTTCTTCGCAATTCAATCAAGTTGGCGGAGGCCCAGCCACGATGACAAGGGCTCCTGCTCGATACTTCCTCACGATTTGCTCCGAGATCCCCTGGCCAGGAAGGCCCCCAAACTCAGAAACGGCGCTCTCACTCGAGAGTTCCTCGTGATTCAATCAAAGAGGTGGAGGCCTAATTACGACGACAAGGGCTCTCGTTCGATACTTCCTCAAGACATATTCGCAAAGGCCCTTGCCAGAGAGGCCCCAGAACTCAAGAGTGGCGCTCTCGCTCGATTCTTTTTCGTAATTCGAAATTTAGACAAGTTGGTGGAGGCCCCCAGACACGGCGACAAGGGTTCCCGTTCGATATTTCTCCATATGTAGAGCCCCTGGCCAAAGAGGCCCCCGAACTCAGGAACGGCGCTCTAGCTTCAGAGTTCCTCGCCCTTCAGTCAGTGGTCGACAAGGAAGATCTTCCCCCCGAAAGAGGGTGCAATCGAAGACGAAGTGGGCGGGTATCGAGGGTTGGGGTATACAGAATGCAGGACACGCGTGCCAGTAAGAGCGAGAAATCTTATACTGATTGTTGTTGTTGTTGTTGTAATTCGGGGCCCAACAACGCAGTTTGGTGACCCCTCACTGTCCCTTGTAAAAAGACCAGGGTGCGAGCCCCGGGAGACACTTTACTTGAAACTTACAATGTTTACCGGAGGGGGGATCAAGAACAACTCTTCTATAAACTTGGGAATCCAACAACAACATCAACAATCCGTACCGCAGAAGTCCACTCTAGCAACGCACCCAGGGATAATGAATGACCGTTCGGCCCCTCACTCTGATAATGCCGTTCGTTATCCTTCCCTCATGTTTCTGTTCGTTATCCTTCCCTTCTCTTCTTCATTCTCGCCCTTCCCTGCGAACTCTTCCCCATCCTCCACTGCTCTTTTTGCGGAGGTTCCTTCTTGGAGAGCTTCTTGGGAGCCCCACCAAAGTTTTACAGGGCTTCTTGGGGCCTTCTGGAAGCCTCCTAGGCGCCTTCTGGGGTCCTCTGGGGACTTCCTCGGGCCACCCTGCTTCCAACTGCAGCCTCCTTGAACGACTGGATCACGCTTTGGAATGCTTCGGGGGCGTCTTGGGGCCATCTTGGGCCGCCATGGGGCTCTCTTCGGGCCATCTTGGGTCCCTGCTGGGCCGTTTGGGGGGTCTCTTGGACTGCCTACAAGCCCTTTTGGACAGTTTTGGCGTGATCTTCAAGCCTCTTGGGCGGTCTCGGACGCTTGGAAAACTGACGAACAGAGCATTCCCAAATCATGCAAAAGGCATTGGAAATTACTGTTTTTCTCCGTTTCGAAAGCCTCTTGGGCGTGTTCTTTGGGTCGTCTTCGGGCGTCTGGTGGGTGTTTTGGGCCTTTTTGGGCCCTCGGGAGGCCGTTCGGCCGCCCTCTTGACAGGAAGAGATAGAGGTGCATATGCACATAAAGAGAAGGAGAGCGAGGCAAAGAGAGAGACCTACACACATACATACATACATGTACATATCATTTCAAATCATATATATATATATATGTATACATATACACAGGTACACACAATCATATACAGAGGAATAAAGAACTATACAGAGAGAGAGAGAGAGGGGGAAAGCGAACGAGAGAACGAGAGAGAGTGCAAGAGAGAACAAAGAGAGGAAGGGAGAACGAGAGAGAGAGAGAAGAGGAGTCCCACTGGTGCTCTTTTGCTTCAATGCCATCGTGGCGCGGGATTTTCGTCCTCGTGCCGGGGCGCGCGCCTGCCGTGTCCAGGCAACCTGGCAGTTGCTCGGGTGTGTCGGCTACTATCTTGACGCAGTGGCCGCGCTGAGCTGATGTGCGCACAAAACGTCCTGCCAACTGGCACCGAAGGCGCGCGTATTCGTCACGTGCTGGTGGCGCTCGCTCGGTGGGGGGAGGTGCATCCGACCACCAGCAAGCGTGTTTGCAATGCGGGTGACTCCAAACGAAAGATTCATCGAACAATCCAGACACGAGAGACATACGAGGCACGCGCGTGCAAGATCCAGCCACGAAGGACGCACATGACAGAGGGGGAGGAGGTGGAACAGGGAAAGAAGGAAGGGGAGACCGTGGCTGTTGAAGGGGGATAAGGAAAAGGCAGAAAAGATCGCTTGCGACGTCACAACTGTTTGGCAATGCTGACCCACATGGCTCATAGCGCTGCATGCAACGACGGCGATGATTCCCATGGATATGATGAATTTGGTCACAGACTCAAGCGGCAAACGGCCCTTGCCTACTCGGGTTGCACCTACGCATCTGCGTGGATGCCCCGAATGCTTTCGGCGTTGTCGGGTCCCTCCGCCAATCTCAGGCAATCTACTCGGGTGGCGCGCTCAACCAAATAGGAGCTTGGGGTAGCCCGTGTAGTCCGAAGCGTTGTGGGGCCTCGGGATATCGGAATGAGCGTGCCAATTGGTGTCGTACTTCATGGTGGCCCAGTCCTGCCGGGTGCGGCCCCAAACTCGCGACTGCTGCGGAGTGCCCAGGCTGCGCGCTTGTGCAAGGGTCGAGGGGAACGATGAAACAACAAATTCAGTACGCATTTCTTTGAGGAGTGACCGGGTATAGCAATGACAAAGATTATTTCGATCTTCGTGATTAAGAGGCCCACAGGTAAAATAAAGCAAGGCGAAGGCAACAAAAGCAGAGACCAAATGCATCAGTGAACGACACCTGCACAATTAGACATGGCGGCTGGTGGCCAATAATAGAAACCCTGTGGACACTGTTTGCCAACATGTGTCCCAAATACGTCGCGCGCGTTCGAAGCTATCGGTGAATGTACGAATTCGGCAACATCTCGGGCTGCTAACCCACCCACTATGATCCGATCCGAAAATACGGAAGACCCCAACAGGCGGGGAATGGCGAGTTGTAACATGTAACAATCGATCGGACCGAGGTCGTGGAGCCGAGCGCGACATGCTATATCGAATCAGACCGCACACGTCCGTGGACATCTCGGACGGCTTGGTTTTGTCCGTCGTTGATGATGCTGATTTTTCCCAACCATCCTGTGGTGTTGGGTCCTCGTTTCGAAGAGACGGTGCCCCGCGTTCCTCCTTCCTTCCTTCCTTCCTTCCCTCCTCCCCCTCCTCCTACTCCTCCTCCTCCTCCTTCTTCTTTTCCTCCTCCTCTTCTTCTTCCTCCCTCCTCCCTGCGTTTCACCCACCCAGTACAGCGTTTCGTGGCCCCACAGGGAGCTCCACCGAAGGCCCCAGTGGCAGGGTTCGCATGGCGGCCCCGCGCCATTTTGGCGCACCCCTCACACGGTTCGTGGCCCCGTAGGGAGCTCCACCGAAGGCCCCAGTGGCAGGGTTCGCATGGCGGCCCCGCGTTTTGGCGCACCCCTCACACGGTTCGTGGCCCATAAGGAGCTCCACCGAAGGCCCCAGTGGCAGGGTTCGCATGGCGGCCCCGCCTTTTAACGCACCCCTCACACGGTTCGTGGCCCCATAAGGGAGCTGCACCGAAAGCATCAGTGGCAGGGTTCGCATGGCGGCCCCGCGCCATTTTGGCGCACCCCTCACACGGTTCGTGGCCCCATAGGGAGCTCCACCGAAGGCCCCAGTGGCAGGGTTCGCATGGCGGCCCCGCGTTTTGGCGCACCCCTCACATTGTTCGTGGCCCCATAGGGAGCTCCACCGAAGGCCCCAATGGCAAGGTTCGCATGGCGGCCCCGCGCCGTTTTGGCGCACCCGTCACACGGTTCGTGGCCCCATAGGGAGTCATCGAAGGCATCAGTGGCAGGGTTCGCATGGCGGCCCCGCCCCATTTTGGCGCACCCCTCACATGGTTCGTGGGCCCATCGAGGGCTCCACCGAAGGCCCCAATGCCAAGGTTCGCATGGTGGCGCCGCTTCATCTTGGCGCACCCCTCACACGGTTCGTGGCCCCATAGGGGGCTTCACGGAAAGCCCCAGAGGCAGGGTTCGCATGGCGGCCCGCGCCATTTTGGCGCACCCCTCACACGGTTCGTGGCCCCATAGGGAGCTGCACCGAAGGCCCCAGTGGCAGGGTTCGCATGGCGGCCCCGCGCCATTTTGGCGCACCCCCTTACACGGTTCGTGGCCCCATAGGAAAGTCCCCTTGCTTCGTCCCACCTGCCTTGCGGTTCTCACACTTGCGTATGGTTGGGTCTTTCGCCAGGATAATTTCCAAGCCGCCCTGTGGTGTTGGGTCTTTGTTTTGAAGGAACAGCGCCCCGCGTCTCTCCTCCTCTCCTCCTCTTCCTCCTCCCTCTTCCCACCCTCCTCCCTCTCCTTCCATCCCTTGCCTCTGCTCTCCACATGCCCATCCCATTCTGGCACACAGGGTCCGCATGCGGGGACCGCCACCCATTTTAGCACACCTCTCACGAGAATCGTGGCCCTATGAAGAGCTCCACCGAAGGCCCCAGCAGCCGGGTCAGCATGCGGGGACCGCCACCCATTTTGGCACACCCCTCACGAGGATCGTGGCCCCATAGGGAAGTCCACCGAAGGCCCCAGTGTCAGGGTCCACATGCGGGGACCGCCACTCATTTTGGCACACCCCTCACGAGGATCGTGGCCCCATAGGATCTCCACCGAAGGCCCCAATGGCAAGGTCCACATGCGGTGACCGCCACTCATTTTGGCACACCGCGCACACGACTCGTGGCCCCACAGGGGCTCGCTGAGTGAACATTTATTTGCTAGCGTGGCCCCGCCCCCCTCTG